TGGCAGCAGCCCAGGCCTGCCGAGGCATGGCGCATGGCACACAGGGGGACAGCACCGCGGGCTCCATGATGGGCTGCCGGTGGGCCAGGGTCCCGCCTGGCCCCGGCTTTGGGCAGCGGCTTATACTCTCTCCCAGGCACACATCACCCCCTCCAACTGGGGAAAGACAGAGCTCTTCTCAAGGAGACTTGTCCCTGCTTAATTCACTTAGCAAGCTCCCCTCTGCTTCCCCCACACCACTCCAGCCTCTCTGCCCGTGATGTTTTGGAAACAGCAAAGGCATCATCAAAAAGCCCAGTGCAAGCCATGGAAAGGCTGCAGGTGGCTTCCCCCAGCCTTCAGCAGTGCCTCTCACTGCTTCTTTAACCCTTCCCAGGGTCCCCGTAGGCTGTTCAACCTGTCCAAGCCTCCAGTTTTCAAAGTTGCTGAGGTGGAAGGGGGAGTGAAGGCACCCAGAATTGTGTGCTCCTCCACCATGGATGAGCCCCTCCTTTGAAAAATCCATGCTGAAACCATTACTTGATAACTGTTGCCTTTCTCATGCAGTTGTGGGTTGTTTCAGGAGATGTCTCCTCCTCTTTCCTACTCCCCATCATCCCGTCTCCTTCTCCAGGGCATCCTACAAGGGGTGGGGTGGTGGGGAACACCTTTTGGAGAGTCAAACACCCACAGACAGTCTCACATCGCCCACACTGACGGTGTGAGGTACATCCATCACCTCTGGTATTTACAGGCAGGCACACCGTGCCAGACAGAGGTCAGTTCAGCGCAGCGAGTCCTCGAACACCATCAGGTTGTGCTCCTGGATGTACCTCAGCAGGACACGTGCCCGCCTGTCGATGGTCTGAAGCAGGGGTCTCAGGCCCTCAGCGCCCCCCTGGCTCTCCCAGAAGTCCCGGTCCACACGCAGCGACTCCAGCAGTTGGCTCTGCAACCTGCCTGACTGCAGCGTGGCCACCGCCGCCGCTGGGAAGCTGCAGCGGAGGAGCAGAAGAGAGGGAGGGAAGGGGTTACCCAGGGAAAGCCAAGCAGGGAGGAGGGGAGCAGCAGGGCACCCAGGCAAAGGCCACTCCACTGCTTCAAGAAGAAATGCATGTCCAACAAGAGGAACACAGGATGAGGAGCCTCCTGCTTAAACCTCTGCCCACGGCGAGCGTGCAGAACAGCTCCATCAGAAACAGATCCAAACAAGCTTCAAATCAAGAGACTGATAGTGTGCCAAATGCCTGATGGGCAACAATGCAAGAAATGCTGAAATGCTCGATTATTGGTTATTTTTGTGCAGCTGCCAATTAGAGAGGGGAAAAGAGGCTTTGAAGACTGCCACCAGTCACCCAGAGCAGGATGAAGACAGTTTCAGGGCAGGGGCACATGTGATGGGTTTGCAAGTCCACCCACCTGCCCCATCCAGGGTGGGAGGTGGTCCCACTTCACCAGGCTGCCCAGCTGGAGAGGCTGGGAATGGCATGAAGCTGTGCACATAGGGCTGCCGTCCATCCCACGTGTGCAAACTCAGCCTTCGTCCGGGACATGTTCCCCCAGACAGTGCACATCGCCCTTCCTACCTGTCTATGCCTTGCAGGAGTCTGAAGTTGAGCTTCTCCTCGGGGTGTTGTGGTCTGCCTGCGTTGTCGATGAACACCAGGCGGGATGGTGAGCTCCTCCGGACCTGCCAGTGGGATGGGAAGGAGAAGTTCACTTACTGTGGGAAGTCACCAGTTTGGGGGTTTAGGCTGTTTTTTTAATGCATTGAGAAATCCTGAGAGCATCCACAGGCCAGCAGCTGCCAAGCCCCAGGTCATTCCAGGCTGAGGAACACCTCCCACCACAGATCCAGCATGACCAAGGGACCTACATCCCTACATCAGCCCTGCAAGGGTCTCCCAGGCACCGTCATCTTTGCCCCAGAGCAGTCCCTGGCAGCAGGGGGACATACCAGGATGTGGACCAGGACCAGCTCTGCTGGGTTTCGACACTTCTCGTGGAGCCTCTCCTCCACACAGGGCTCAGAGGGATCTGGCTGAAACCCACAGCAGTAACGGTCCAGGCGGTCATGAACCTGTGGAAGACATTTGGGGATCTTAGCAGGGACAGGTGCCCAGGGCAGGGTGGTCCAGCTGTGAACTTTTCTTGTTCAGAGGAAAATAAAAACTTTCTAAGGCTCCTCAGTAGACACGAAATAGAAAAGCTGCGTACACCAATGGGTGAAGGAGAGGCATGGAAGCACTCAAAAGCTGAGCTGACTGGCAAAACCCCCTTGGATTAGAGAAGAGACTGAAGGTGCTGGTGACAGGCTTTCCTGATGGAGCTCAGACACTTTTTGCACCTGGTACTTCTACACTCTGTATTTGCACAGATTGAACAGATCATGCTTCCAGCTGAAGCCAAGGGAAGACATACACAGCGATGAACATAAAAAGAACAAACAAAGCACCCAAGGAAACCTAGGTTCTGAAAACTCAAAAAGAGATATTTTTTTTTTCCTTGGTTGAATCTTGGTGCACCGGATGATGGTTTCATCTCACTCCCAGCTCATATATGTCCTTTCAACCATCCCTACTGGCAACCTGAGCAGCTCTTAAGGGAAGGAAGATGAATGGGAAAGGATTGGCAAGGGAAAAAGCAATCTGTGGATTACACAGAGCATGCCTGATGTTTCAGTTAGGCCATGGTGACTAGTTTTAACCACATTTGTGTTTAATTATTTGCAGGCACTACTAAGGCTCCGTGTTGTCGAGGCTGTCAGGCTGGGGGCTTGACATCCCTTCCCAGCCCAAATCCCTTGCAGAAACCTCGGTGCTGCTTGCACCCGCACCCTCAGAGGGACGAGGGACTTTTAAAAGACATAAATCTCTGCCACATCTGGCCTCAGTAACCCTGCCTTAGTATTCAAGAAGCTTCCTCAGCTTTGTCAGAAGAAGCCAGCACATCCCCTGCGCTGGCCTGCGGGGCAGATGGGACCTCACTGGCTGCCAACATCCCTCCCCATGGCCACGTGCTGCCATGGCTGTGCAGGGTGGCTGCCTCGCTGCCTCCAGCTCTCTGCAAGCCTGTTTGCAACATTACAGCAAAAAACGCTCCATATATATATATAAAAATCTCCTTTAAATATATAAAAATATATATAAAATAAATATATTTTCCGGTTGCAGTGTGAAGGCATCTGTCTTGCTCGCGTGCTTGGGGTTGCTGGTGCCAACCCGGGAGCCAGAGTTCAGGGTGCAGAGAGGCTCCTGGAGCTGCCAGGAGGGCTGGAGCAGGTCTCAGGTGAGCCCAGGGAGATCTACAGATAACGACTGGCTGGAAACCACATGACCCACAGGGGCTGCCCATTCACCTCATCCTGATAATTAGGAAAATTTATGAATTAAAGGCTGTGCCTCAAGAGGGAGTTCAGTCTGAACTCAAACACTAATCCAGTGCTGAAGACGTTGCAGGAAACACAAAGTTTGATTTCCATGGCCATTATATTAAAAAACCTTTGAGAAGCAAGATTAGTCCCACACCAGAGCTCCTTAACAAATCCCTTTCTGATGTTTAATGAAGGATTTGGGTTGGCATTTCTCCACCAGGACACTCACCAGTTAAATGTGATGAAGTGTCTTTTGACATGAAATGCTTTGAAATGAAAGAGAACATCACATTTCCCCCATGCACTTCCATTTCTCTCACCTGCTGCATTGTTTTCCAGGCTGCACAGAAGGTGAAGACAACCTGAGATGACTTACAGAGACATTAAACGTACTCAGGCCTCCCATTCATGGAAGTGTCTGTGAAACTGAGGTGAATTGGTGTAAGGTAGAGTCTGGACCTGGTGTCCAAGTGGAGCTCCAGAAAATGGGCCAGCCAGCTGTGGAGATGCTGAGAGCACCTCTGACGTGTTGATGAACCCTCCCCAGGTCATTTATGTTAACTTCTCCTCACCAGAACCTAAATGGCTCTGAGGAATGGGACACTAGGTCTTACTGTTGGAACACAAATATGTGAGCCACACCTTCTCCCACCCAAACTGAGGCCCCGTGAGAAGCTTTCTTTCAGCCCCTCTTTGGTCCCATGCAAAGCTCGACTGCCCCAGAGCACCCCCTTGGGTCTGACAGGGCTTTCCAGCCATGACTCAGCCTGGGATTGCCTCCCCCAGGGAAAAATGCCTTGCTTTCCCCCGAGCTGGGAAGGGGGGTTCCACAGGGTAGGGACGCAGCTGCAGGACTTCAGAGTTGATGTATTCTTGGCCCTTTTTAAAATGCAGGACCAAGCCACCAGCAGCTGCTTCCTTTCTACAAGGCTTGTTGGTTTTGCCCCTGGTAAAGCTTCGCACCAGAAGGGGTGTTCCTTTATGGCAAACACCAAGAGAAATCAATATAGAAGAAGCCCAATTTTAAAGCTAATTGGAGAAAACAACCAAGATTTCAATGCCGATGTACAACAGGGCTCAAAGCTTACAGCTGCTCCTTCCCCAGCAAGGGCTGTGAGAGGCTAAAGCCACTTCTGAAGGATGCTACTTCACTTCTATAACATTCTGCTGTCTTGGTGTCTCTTTACCTTTACGTGGCTTTTCCACATGGGAGGATCCCATCGGACTCATTCAGGAAAATCTGTGGATTGCCCTTGGATTTATCATTGTGCTACTTTTGCCCTCCAAGGGATTGTCTGCTTAAAACTAGATACTTTCTCCTGGAGACTCAACCTTTCCATTGCACTCGACAGCATTTTGGCCTGGTTAATCTTCTCTTTTCTCTGGCTGTTTCAGCTAAAGTATTTCCGAGCCCATCCAGGATTGCTCCACCTCTGCCAGCCATAGTCTGAGGTTATAAAGATTAATGGTCAGACTTTGCCAAAAAAAAAGAGAGAGAATAATGAGAACACATATTTTGATAGCCTCTTTTCTTTCTTTCTTTGCATCTTTCTTGTTTTATTTTAATAATTGCCCTTTTCCCCTCCAGCCCCAAGGTGCCTAAACAGGCTTTTTTCCATAGAAACCACTTTTGCCTCCTCACAGCTGCCCTTTGAGAAATGATAACTCTCTGGGATGCTGTCGTAATCCCTTGTAGCAGCAGGGTATGATTTTCCAGACAGAAGATTATACACTGTTAATGACGAGGAGGAGAAGGAGGAGGAAAGCAGTGCCGTCCAAAGGGGCAGGGCTTCTAATTTCCAGCACCAGCAGTGCATCCCCAGGGTTGGATCTGATGGGGCTGATGCAGAACATGCTGCTTGTCATGAGGGATGCCCCATCCCGAGCCACTGCTGGCATTCAAATGAAGCAGAGTCGATGCAGCCATGCTGAGGGAAAGCTTGCCCACGTGAGACCAGACTCACCGCATCCGAAACCTGCCTGTGTTTCCCTGCAAGTCCCAAGGAGGACCAGGACAGCACAGCCAGTGGGACAAGCGGTGTCCATCACCCCAGCCCTACCTGGAGGAGAAAGTCGAAGAGGGCCAGGCGGCTCCACTCGCCACGTGCGATGCTGGAGCAGGGACTGTCCCCGTCCGCCGGCATCGGTCTGCGGGGCCGCAACATCTCCTGGTACTGCAGCCACCCCAGGGTGCAGGAGTTCTGGTCGTTGTTGGCATCCTCCAGGTGCTGGAGGTCGGGCGCCCACCAGATGATGGGTCGCAGGGAGCCGTTGGTGTAGCTGTAGGGCAGGAGGCGGCTGGTGAAGCGCCGGGCCACGGCGGGCAGGCTGCGGTTCAGTCCCAGCACCCTGTCCAGGTGGAAGGCCAGCACCTCATAGAGGTCCCCGGGGCGCTTGATGAGCCCGCAGCGCCCATCCCGGCAGTCCTCCTCCGGGCTGGCTGGCAAGGTGTCCCCCTCAGTGTCCCCCACGGACCACAGCCCCACTCGCAGGACTTGTCCGTGGGCTGGGACACGGGTTTTGGAGACCACCTGCCCACTGGCCAGCAACTGCATCTTCTGGAGGTCATCACTGGAGAGCCATGGAGGAGCCTCCACTGCCACTCCTCTTCGTCGCCTCCTGCCCTGGCTGAGCTGCTGGTCCCGGGGCAGCCATGTGGGGGGCCCAGGGGACTTTTCGCTGTGGGCTTGTCCCCCGGGCAGGGGAACGGACACCTCCTGCTGGGGGCCTGGGGGGAACGATGTTGGTGACAGGTGGGGTGACTGGTCCAGTGATGGGGGCAGGTGGGCCAGGGCCAGCAGGGCCAGGGCCAGCAGCCCCCCGAGGGCTGCCGGGGTGGGGGGCTTCAGCCCTGTCCTTCGCCATGGTCGCTGTGCCTACGGGGACAGAAAGGACAGTGTTACTGGGGGTCTCCATGCGGTGCTATGGCTGGGGATCCCCCAGACCTGCGTGCCCCCCCTGCACCAGGCAGAGTTCTCAAAAAGCTTAAAGGGTTTTGCTTTGGAGGAGCAGCCCCTCTGCTTGTGCGATCCCTGGGAAAGGTGTTCCCCAAGTGCTCGCTGCCTCTGCAGTGCTGTAGCAGGAGAGGTACACCTGGTGGCATGATTTGTGCCAGAAATTAGCTGCAGTCCCTTCAGAAGCCGGTCAGAGCATGGGCTGACCCACCACTGACATGGCCACGTCTGCAGCGCCGGTGTACAGGATCGCCTTGTGGGAGATGATTTCTTCATGCTGAAATATTTTGCTTCAAAGACTCAATAAATAAATAAAAAATTAAAAAAAAAACAAAAACAAAAAACGACCAAAACACAAAAAAGACCAAAGCAGAGCAAATTCCTGGCTGGAAGCAAATGCTTTGCAAATACTTTCCAGTTCCTCAGAGGTTTTTATCTTCCTACCTTACTCTGGACACCTTCAGTGGCTCCTACCCTGGTTGCACACTCGGCCCATAGCCCAGATCCCCATGCCCTTGTTCAGAGGACGTCTCAACGCGTGCCGAGACATGGCCTCTGGAGCTCAGCCCACCGCTGCATCCAGCAAAAGCGAGGCAGCTCCAAGTGCCAGTCGGAAGCTGTGGCAGCCTGTATTTAAAAAGGATGCAAACTGCTGTATGTGAAACCTAAAATATTCTGATTCCCAGCATTAAGGAACTGCCTTTAGACGGGTACTACCAAGATTTTGTGTATATATCTTTATACACATGGCTTCCCCCCCTCCCACCTTTTAGTCATACTTTCTACTCTGAAGGGACTTATAAAAATTATATAGGCTGGAAAAGCAGTTACAAGCAAATACTGTGCAAGTCTCCTCGTACTGCAAAGCCAACACATCTCCCACATTTCCGCTTTGGTCTAAAGCAATCCCATGCGTACAGCGCTGGCTCTGCCCTGAGCACAGCATCTTCCCTATTAGGGTGAGATGGAGGGACTCAAGAGGCAGCACTGGGATGTCCTCCCAGCCCACCCCATCCCCGGGCCACACTGCCGGGATCAGGCGGTCTTACATGCTGCCAGAGGCTGGAGCAGCCAAAGACACTTTGGCATCGCTTCTCCACTTTGCAAAAGGAATTTCCAAGTGGCTCGAACCCACATTGGAAGTCAAGGCAACGTTCAAGTGGATACATTTTTTTGCCATTATTTATTTTGGAAGCCCAAGTATATCCGTGGCAGACACAGCGGGACAATATATTGCCAAAGAAGGGATAAGAGATTGTTTATAAGAGGAAAAGCTTAGGGAAAAAAAAAAAAAAAAAAAGACCTAAAAAGCTGGGAGGGTGAGAGCCAGCAGCCAGAATGTCTTCCAGGAGGCAGCTGGGTGAGCAGAAACATTTCCAGCCATGGGGCTTTTAGGACCGCAGGCTCCCGACGGCTCCAGGGACCCACCACCACCACGACTCCCGCCCCGAGAGGAGCTGCCCCAGGCAATCACAGCACGTGAGCCCCTTCATAAGTCCATCCAGCACTATCCTAAAATCCATCAGGCTTCATGCCCTCACTGTGGAGAGGTTGCTTCTGATGGCCCCATGGTGAGGAGTCACTTCTCTCCCAAAGGCACTACATCAGCCAAGTCAGAAGAGAAGAGCTACAAAGCCACCAACTCACTGGCAGCAGCCGTAGGGGTTTCCTTTTGAGGTGTCCCTCTCAAGGACTGAGCAGACTTTATGCAGCTTATAAGAGGCAGTGATGGTGCATCAGGAGCGATTCAGCTTTAGAGCTCTCATTTAATTGTTTGTCTCCTAGAAATACAACGTAGTGCAGCAACATATATCTGCTGGGACCTGGGGCTGTCTGGTGGGGGGCTTCAGGACCCGCCGGGGGACCAGCCCCAGAGTGAAAAGGAGCTAGTCCAGGGTAACACTGGTCAGAGAGATGCCTTGTCGTAGCTTACTGGCAGGGTTAGTCGAGGCTTGGTATTAACTGTCCCAGGCACCATACTACATGACTAAGTCATTGCCTTAGGCATCTTTCTGGGCAGGGGATGAGCTTGGACACCCCTAAGCAGCCTCGGGGAGCAGCAGAACTTTAAGCAAGTGGGTGATTGCGATGCCTCCCCAGATCTTCCTCGCTTGGATGGGATAGAGATTTGCTGTGGTCCCATAGCCAAATGCCAACTCACACAGGCGGCACCCGAGCTCAGCTACCCAAAACCTTCATGCCCTACAGCAAGTCCTGCAGAGTGCAAACACATGCTTATTCCCAAGCACCTGCAACCCATGTCCGGCATCCTGAACAGGCGTTTAGGGGAGGTGTAATGTCTAAATCATATTTTAACCATAGTAAAATAACGCTGTAGCACAAAAAGGCCAGATCCCGATATCCTGATACCCATACTCTTTTCAAGTCATCACTGTAAGTACTTCGCAGTCTGTCCCATCTGCATCCAGCCGAGTTCCCTTCCCAATCTGTGCTTCCCTGGGCAATTTTTCCCAGCACCTCCCCGACCCCACCCCACCCCTCTGAAGAGACACAGCCCACTCCATTCTCACCAAAACCCCCTGTAACGGTCTTCTGCATGGAGGATTTGCAGGGTGATCATTTTTATTATCACCCTGATAATCACCCTTTGGTCACTTACACCATCCCTGGGTACGCAAGGAACATGGCTGCCAAAAATCCAAGTATCCTTGGGGGGTGGGGGATGGGGGGATGCATGTGGGGGCCATTTGCAGAACCTTGGAAATACTGCAGGAAAAATCCTTTTTAATCCACAGCTGGAGAGCAGTGGATGCCAAATGGATGGCAACGATTGCTGGTTTCTAATGTCAAGTCAGTTTACAGACCCAGTGGTTAAAGCACCATTAGTGTCCAAACTCACTTTGTCTTCTCTGTCAACGAGTTGGGGTTTGGGCACCGCAAGTTAGAGCTCCGTTTCTTTCCCACCCTGAGCTTGAAACCCTGCGCTGTGAAGCTGGGTGAAAGTCACCACAGGCGCCTTTCCCCATCCCCATTTGGGGTTTCCCTGCCACATCAACAATAAAAAGAAAAGAAAAAAGTGCAAGCGCAGCCTCTGTGTTGTTTCTGGCAGTCGGTATTGCAAATTTAATACTAACATTGCAGAAATAATACTGTATTTACAAGCTCAGGGTAAATACTTTTCCAAAGAGGCTTTCTCTGAGCCCATGCTCTAAAAAAAAAAAAAAAAGTAAAAATGCTGCAGTTTAGCCTATGGCTTCGATTCAGCCTGAAATGCAAACCATACGCACAGCTCTGCTTTGCCAGTCTGACATAGTGACAGTACAGAACATCTTCTCCAGAAATTTGGTCCATGTCCCAGGGGGCGGAAAGTTACAGGCAAAACCCATAAAAAGGCTTATGAGAGGTACTGCTTGTTCCAGGATGCCAATAAGTAAAAAAATAATATATCCTCGCTCATCAGAGGGACATGCAGCACAGCCCAGGCTCCTGAAGGCGCTGGGGAGAGCCCATGCAGCCTTGGCCACTCAGGGATAAAACTTTCTATGTGTGGTTGGGAGGGTTTTATCCTTAACATTGTATTGCTGGGACGCTTGAACCTTGGCAGAATTTGAAGCAGAGAAGCCTGTTTTCAATTTCTTTTCAAAGTGCACCGAATTGGCTTTGTTGAGCCCAAAAGAAAAGAAAAACAAACCCCAAACTTCATTATCCAGGAATGTAAGAAACAGCCCTAAAACTAGAAAGATGCCATGGAAATACGTGGCCTTTAAAAGTGGGTTTCATCCTGTTTTCTTCTGGCATCCAAAAGTGTCGTCCCGCCCCTGCACTGGCACCACCAGACCCCTCCAGCAGCAAATCCCATCACCCCAAAGAGGTGCCCGAGGGAGCCAGGATGGCTCAGCCGTGGCCACGTCTCTCTTATCTGCCTGCCCAGGCTACGCTCCCAAGCTCAGGGGCTTTTGTCACAGGCTGCCCGTGAGCAGGTTAAGAACAGGCACGTGCATTTCTCTGGATGTACACCCTGCAGGGTATATTTTGCAGGGAGGGGGTGCAACGCACAGAGCTGTACTTATCCTCCCAACACCGTGCTCGCTGCCCACCCGATGAACCACAAAACCACCTGGGCAGCAGGAGATGCAGCCCGCTGTGACCAGTTTTTAACAAAGACTGCTTGAAAAGCAACTGGGAAACCTCCTCTGGCTGGCCACCGCCTCCGGGAATGTCTCCAGAACCTTGCGCCCAACATGTGGTGCTTCAGGCAGCTCCTGGCGTGTTGGGGATAGAGGCTGAGAGCAGGTATGGCAACCAGGTCCAGGAGGGGAACAGCCCTTTCCTTTTGGTTTCAACCAGGAGTTTTTTGGCTTGTAAGGGGATGGCACATGCTGCTGGGGACCCAAAACCGTGCAGAGAACATGGAAGGAGACAAAACCCCTCCAGCCATGGAGTGACTCTGGGTGAGCCTGAGCAGAAGGAAATCCTGGGCACTGTCGGTCGCCCATCATTCAAGTGCTTAAGTGCCTTCCTATATCATCCTGCTCGGGGAAGATGGATGGCTTACAGAGCGGGAATTTACTAAAGACAGGTATTAAATTATGACTAACAGCCTCGAAAGTAGCGCCGGCTCAGAGCAGGGAGCTGAGCTCACCCTGCACAGACAGCCTGTGGGGGGCCATTATGTTCCCCTTACACATGGGTCCCACCACCACCCACTTGCAGCTGTGCCACCATGGGGCATGAAGAAAGGACAGTCCTCCACGCGACCTAATGATCCATCAAAGTGGCCATGATTCCTAGCAGACCTGCACCAGCTCTGTGTCTGGGGTTGTTTCCACCAGGGATGCAGGTTTTTTCTTCCAAAATGCCCTTCAAGGGGGGGATGACCATGACCTCACAGCATTTTGGCACCCTGCAGACACCCTGAAGGCCACCCTGCTCGATGCCCGGTCAGGGATGTGTCAGGCAGGCGTTGTCTGCTGGCTCAAGGTGCCCCTGCAGATCCACTTCCACGTGTTGCTCCCCACGAGCGGCTTGGGAAGCTGAAGCCAGGCAACTGTGGAGAAGGGAAGGGGGACTGTGTTCCCACAAATTTTATGCAAGGGAGTTACAGCAAATGCTGGGTCGGCTGAAGCCCAGGAGGTGGAAACCTGATACACCGCCACATGGTGCTGGGTCTTTCCCTGCAGAGTCAGGGAAGTCCTCACGGCTGGCACACAAGGCTTCCCACCAGCATGTCCAAAACCAAACCAGAAAATGACCAAATTACATTGCCTGGGGCAAAACTTTAAAACATGCTTTACTTTGCTAAATTTTTGATGGTCTGCAAAGCTTCTGCCTCAAGGGGATAATACCTAGTCTAATTGCAAGACAAGCGTGCTTTGCAGTAGCATAGGACAATACTCCAGCAGCAGCACAAAGGGATGAAATGGTGTTGATACCGTTCACTCTGAGCACTGCCTTTAAACTGATGGTGCCAATATGCTTCCTTTAGTTTCTAAAATAACGTTGCCTTCATATTTCTTCCCAGTTATTGCTACAGCCTTGGGGCAGCAAACTACAAAACCCTTGAAACCCTCCAGCTCCATAGCCTCTTCCTAGCAATAACCTGGCATATCTTTGGCTCCAAGGCCCTGCGTCAGCTCCTTGAGATTTTTGCTTCTGAGGGGTGCGATGTCCCTGTTTCTTGCTCGATCTCCCCCCACCCAGACACACTATTTCTGTTCTTGGGAGGCCCCTCACCCTGGAGGTGCTTGTCTGCCCAGCCATGGGCTAAGCACTGGCTCTACTCACACACCCCACCATCCAAAGAACCGTTTTGAACAAAATCTTCAGTCAGTGCTGGAAACTGCTCTGTATAACGAGAAAATCCCAGTGCTTCTACGTAACAGTGCCGTTCCCATTGCACTGGCTGGTCCCAGTTGAATTACAGACCAAAGAAGTTCAGCCAAACCTGCGCTTGCAAAACCCCCAGGAGTAGCCTACAAGAACCGCAAGGCCCTCAGAGTCCCAGACGTCCTGTTCAGCATCTTTTTGGAGGACCTGGGGCAGGTGATGGACAACACCATGGAGGAGATGGACAGCCATCACCTAGGTGGAGGACACCACACTACAGCGTGCAGCTGATGCAGATGATGGCAGAGCTGCTGCTTGGGGGGACCCGGAAAGGACACACGCCATGTCCTGCACCTGGGATGGACCAGAGCCCTGCAGGGTACTGGCAGGGACTTGCTCTTCCTGTGATGACACTGTCCTTACTCCTGAATTGTGTGATTTTCACTGAGAAAAATGAAGGATTCATAATTCTCCTTACTCCCACTGTGTAAATCTTTTGGCTTGCAGGAATTTAATATTCAGCTCGGTGAGGGATGAACAGGGTGCTTTTCATCCTAATGAAAGTACAGTGCAGCTCAGGACCCCTCTGGTTTAATCCCAGAAGTCAACACAAAGCGCCACAAAAATAAACAGTCTCCAGGATGCCATACTCCTCTTGCGTAAAGTAAGCAAACTGAAAGCTTTCAGATGCCTCATCCTTCTGCTTAAGTTCAGAGACAGGATTTTTACTGCAGACTCTTGCACTTAGCTGGGTCTTCTGCTTCTTGGACACACATCTCTGAAGAGATCACTGGTTGTCTTTCAGGACCTGTCACTAAGAAGCACAGGTCTGCTGCCATTCACATGTGCAAACACCTCCATTACTTTTCACCACTGAAAGCCTTATGTTAAGCAATATCAACCTGCACACAAACCACATGGGTCACCACGGACCCGAAACAGCACCTTATATTCACAGGACGCAGAGAGGATCTGGGCAGCCCTGAATGCACAACTGTCCTGCCAGCATCACAGGGACAAGGGACGTCCTCCTCATCTTCCCTCCTCTCTGTCTGCTCATTCCTCTAACCCTGCCCCCTAAGTGAGAGCAGTGCAACCTAGAAATCCCGGCAGGGACGGCCGGGAGGGAGAGCAGCAGTTTTGGGCAACCATCGCTCCCTCGCTCCCCCCGCCGCCACGCAGGATCCCGCCAGGCTTCCCTTTTCCCCCCTCCCCTCGTCCCAGTTTCCCAGCCAGCCTGTCGCGCTCAGCTCCAGAGGTTTTCGGAGCAGTTTTTCCCATCTGCCTGCTGAAACAGCAAGAAGGGGGCCCCTTCCCCAGCGAAACAGATGTGGCTCGCCTTTGTGCAACATCTGTGCCTCGTGCTCCCGCTCATTTTGAACAGCCTTGCCTTTGTTCATGAGGGCTTGCGCAGGGGATGCTTTGGAGGAGGGCAGCAGCCTGTGGCCCACGGCGCTGGACTCCTTCCCTTTGAGTCCCCCGCACAAACTGCCTTGAAACGCCTGGGTTTCCTCTGGTGGAAAACAATACGCTTTGTTCCCCGCGGCATACGGGAATCAACAGTCCTGCTCCTCATCGCTTTGGTTCCAGTCGCAGCAAGTGGCTCACGCTAAGGATTCCCGTGGGATTCCCAGATCCAGAGGAAGTAAGAGCAGGAACTTGGGAGCCACCAACGATCCCCTTCCTCACAGCCACCCCCCACCCCAAACAGCTTCTCTCGCTGTGCCTCTGGGCCGCTCACCAGCTTGGCTCGGCATCCCCAGGGGGGCTGAGCAGCTTCAGCTCCTCTGCGCACAGCCACAGCGAAGAGCAGAAGTGCTAGAAAGCCACATCTTATTCCTCCTGGGCTGCATTTAATATGGGGAGGAACACGTTAAAATAAACCGAATTTAGTCTCCTTCTCGCTCTCGATGAGTTTAACCAACCCCACTGACAAGTGTCTAAAAAGCTGCTAAGACTCTCTTGCACATTTTGGCGCTCAGTCCTGTTTTATTTATTTTACCGGGGGGGGGGGGGCGGGGGGGGGGGGGGGGTGCCACATTTGTTCTATACTTTGGAAAGGGGGGGATTTTGGTCCACTTATTTTCAGTTTTCATTTCTAGCTGGTGGACCAGCACCATGGAGGAGGAGTGTTTGCTCGGTGCACGGCGGGGGCTTGCAAAACTAGCTCCCAGGGGTGCTGGCGTGGGGCAGCACCAGATTCCCTCCTTGGCGCTTCAGCGGAGGTTGCCCAAGCAGCCGGTTGGGTTTCCCCGAGCTGGCTGTCAGGTTTTTCCCCTTCCTGGAGAGCAGGAAAGTGCATTCGTGGGATTCCAAAGGGGAGGGAGGAGGAGGACAACGGGGCCTTTCAGCCCCTGCGGGCTTTCTTCAAAACAGAATTGTTCGCACAAGCCCTGGCCTCAGTTGCAGGAAGGTAACCCCCTTTTCCTCCATTTAAGCCATCCCTTTTTAAAGAGAAAAAAAAGGGGAAGAAAGCTGCTCGCTGCTTGGCTCTGAGTGCCGCCTGTGTCCCACAGACCCCGTCCCGGGCAAAGCCTGCCGGCAGCCACCCTCCAGCCCACTTCTCCTTGTCCCAGCAAACCCCATGGGACGAGTGAGCGGAGCATACACGGCAAGAGCACCAGTGCGACATGGCTATTAGAAAAAAGAACTTTTCCTTCAGGGCAAGAGAAATAGCTGCAGGCAGACTGGAGTTATTGAGCATTTGAAACAAAAAAGGGAATTAAGGCATTTGGCATCTATGCTGGAGGATTAATAAAGTGTAATCAGCCCCTCTTATTTAGACTGCCTCATACTAGGCGAACAACAGAGCAGTTGGAAATTACTTGCTGGCAGATCTTGAAACCAGAAGAAAGAAGATGTTTCTGTAATGCAGTCATCCCCCAGCCCTCGCTGCTCCGGCAGGTCGGGCAAGTACAGTGGCCGCATCCGACAAGGAGCCGGCTGTAAGCACATGCTCCGCGCTGACAGCAAAGTTCACAGCTGGGATCTCTATGGCTTTCTGCAAGTGGTCACCCTCCTGGTGATTCTGAAAGAAGTCAAAAATCTGCTTGAGCATTTCGCTTAGGGTTTTGCTGCAAATGAAGCAACTCAACGATCATTTTAGGGCACAGCCGGAATTTATTTGGTCACGAGACTGTCACTGCCCTGCCCACAGGTGAGCTGTGCCCAGAGCAAACCCCGATTATGGGTGAAATCAAAGCAACAAATACAGGAGCTCACAAAGGGGAAAGGGCTGCAGAACCAGACCTTCGCTTGCCAAGGCAAAATGGAAATCCTGGCCAAAATCGAATACTCCGCTCTCGCAGGGAAGACCACACCAGGTACCTGGCACAGGCTATACGCTCTTTGAAAGGCTTCATAGTGAAGGCTCGGATGGGGGAAAGCATTACTATGGACGGGAGGCTGGTGCGGGGAGAGCAGCCTTGCTTTTTTCTTTGACAGGGAGGAATTATTTCCAGCCCCAAAATGGGTGACAAAAGTCCTGGTCTCGTCTGGTTTTCCTGCTGCCGAAGTTCACGCATTAAGACACTCGAAACAGCCTATGCAGATGGTAGGATTGTAAAGTACAACATCAGCATCCCCCATACACACATACACACACAAACACACACACTGGTGAAGGCTGACACAGCCCCACTGGCCCCAGAGTTGCTCTGACTCACAACCACACTCTCAGGGACATAAAAACATTTCAGCAACACAAGTGACACCAAAGCACCAGCTTTTGGCAGCAGCAGCAAGCGCCTCCTCAGCTCATCCATCACGCATGTTTGCAATCCCTGCCCCACAAGAGCTTTGCAAGGGCTGAGATGGCAGAGCAGAGAAGAAGCCCCCCCCGCCCCCGCTGTGAACCCCCTGGCGGGATGCTATCCCCTGGCGGGATGGTGGTGATGAGGAGTAGTGGGGACTCCATTCCAGCTCAGCTGGCTTGTGCTTGCTTAGATGGCTCTGGAAGTCAGTTTCCAAGGGATGTCCCAAATTTGAGCGCTAAAACTAGATGATGCGAAAAATCACCCTAAGGTTTGAAATGTGCTGTGGGTGTGGGGGAATCTGCTGTTGCTCGGGAAGCATGCCATTTCCCTTGCCAAATTGGCCGGTTTTGTGACTTTTTCCTGAAAGCGCTGCGCTTTGGGAGGACGAAAGGGAAAGCACGGAGGGGCTCTTTGTGCTCTCCAAGCCTACCTGCACTTTGCTGCCTTTACCCCATGCTCTTCACCTGCCTGAAGCAATGCCACCCGGGCTCTTAAAAAAGGTGGATTTCAGCTGAGGAAGCGTAATTGCCTCGCGCTGCCTTTATGGGCAACCTTACAATCTGCTTTGTCCACCCCTGGTGCTATTAAAGACAGACACGTGCCGGAGCGGTTCTGTGCCTTGCTTGCCTCACCATGCGCCAACCCTTTGAGGGGTCCCGCTGGACTTGCCCCCGGGATGGAGACAGCCAGGACATGGCCTCACACCTCATCCCATAGGGTTTGGTGTCCCTGAGCAGACCCGGTGTCGCTTCCCATCACCAGCTTGACAAGGAGACCCTCAAATCCTACCATGTCTTGCAGTGGTGGCCGACGCGCTCCTCCTCGTGTGCTTCACTGTCTGCAGGCGATGCGGCACAGGGTCACCTCACTTCCATACAACACCAGGAACCCCCACAAAATATAAAAATATAAAAATAAAATAAAATAAAATAAAATAAAATAAAATAACAATGATAAAAATATGCTCCAGTAACTAATCACAGCTGGGGGACTCTCTCCCAGGGGTGCCCCTCCGGGCTCTCTGCAATCCCTGCCGGCTGACTCTGCATTGCCAGGGGCTGCCAGGTCCCTGCCACAACGTGCCGGTGGGCATCTCCGGTGTGTCCCCACGGAGGGAGGACACCCGTCAAACTTCAGCTTCGAGTTTTCAAACTCTGCCTCATCCCAGACCCACCTCCCCGTGGGGAGGGGAGCAGAGAGGCTGGGAAGGGGAGAACAGGCATTTGAAGAGTCTCTTTTTCACAATAAAAGCCCTTCTTGCTGCTTTTTTTTCTTTTTTTTTTCCTTTTCTTTTTTTTTTAAATACCGAGGGCTGATTTGAGCCAGGAGGCACAGGTAAAGGAGGCTGAAAACACATTTGCTCCTACCAAGCCTGTTTGCTCCTAGTTACCCTGGTGCCGGACAAGCAAAGGGACAGGCAGAGCCCCCGGTACTGTGTCAGCCCCGGAGCAGGGAAAGCGAACCCCAGCTTTGCTCACAGGTGCCCGAGAAAACGCTCTTTGCAGGTTTTTATTACCATTGCTTTGCCTTTCAGAACCAGCCCAGCAAAGAGCTGTGCCACATCAGTGCCTGGAGCAGACGCAGCCCTGGGAGAAGGTTTCTTATCCGCTTAAAAGGCACTAATGCATTAAAACCATTTTTAGGGTACTCAGGCGCCCTAAGGTACCCAGGGCACCCAGTACCTGCAGGCAGCCAGGAGAGGGGTGACCCCCGGGGCAGGGGGGACAGGGAAGGGAGACCCTTGCTCCAACCAGCACCGCATGGCAGGTCTGTGGCACAGGGAGCACCGCAGTGCCCCGCCAATGCAGCTCTGCCCATTGCCTGGTTGTAGGGTGCATCCTAAAGGCCATTTCCCCAGGCCCCGGGGGAGGAGGAGGCTGGAGGCATCACTTTGGAACGCAAACACGTGTCACCAGCGCTCCAGGGCACACAGGCAGCTGCCAGGCTGCAAAGCATTTATTTATTTTTTTCCTTCGTATAACTTTCCCCTTCCAGCGCTGGGCTATGGCCAAGCAAAACCCATCAGTCCCCCCACCGTGTCAGGAGATGCCATCACCTGCCCCAGCGCTGTGCTGGCTCCAGCCCTTGCCAGCCCCACACCGGGACAGGAGGAAAAACTCTGTCTCAGGTCGGGGGTAGGGGGTTCAGCTTTTCAACCTGTGCAATGACCTCAGCTAGGAAACTGTAAGTCAAATGATCAGCATTATTCTTTACTGATCATTTTTAAAAGACAAAAAAGGCATAGTAGAAACTATTGTGAGGGACACTGAAGACATGATGGTCTAAAAAGAGGATGAGGCTGAGGGAAACAGGGACAAGCGACTTGACCAAGGTAGCACAGGAGGGCAGTGGCAAAGCCCAGGAGGAGCCTCCTGAGCACCTGAGCCCTGCTCTATCTCACTGGCCCTGACTCCGCATTGCCATGGGACCTGTTGGACCACATCCAGAGGAGAGCCATGAAGATGACCAGAGGGCTGGAGCACCTCTCCTATGAAGACAGGCTGAGAGAGTTGGGGTTGTTCAGCCTGGAGAAGAGAAGGCTCCCAGGAGACCTTATAGCAGCCTTCCAGTACCTAAAGGGGGCCTACAGGAAAGATGGAGTTGGAGTCTTTATCAGGGAGTATAGCAATAGGTTGAGGCATAACAGTTTTAAACTGACAGAGGGTAGATTTAGATTAGATATTAGGAAGAAATTCTTTACTGTGAGGGTAGTAAGGCACCAGAACATGTTGCTCAAAGAAGTTGTGGCTGCCCCATCCCTGGAGGTGTTCAAGGCCAGGTTGGATAGGGCTTTGAGCAACCTGGTCTAGTGGGAGGTGTCCCTGCCCATGGCAGGAGGGTTGGAATGATCTTTAAGGTCTCTTCCAACCCAAACCATTCTATGATTCTATGATTTTATGACCCTGCAGAGTCCCACAGTGACATTTCACAGGGCTGTGCGAAGTGTTGGGTGCAACCAATGATGGTAACACAATGCTCTGCCCAGCACACACTTCTGCTAGTCCCAGCACCTTCACACCCCCTTGGTTCACTGAGTGCATTTTATTTTTAAAATGATACGTCTCCCAGCGCCTGTTGTTGCTACTCAAAACTATAGCTAAGAAAATCAGTGGATTGAAGGTTATACACAAAACCAGTGAATCTGATTTCAGCTTCAGCACACCCCCCTCTGTGCCAGCCTTTGGTGGGAGAAAGGGGTATGCAAACCAAGCCCTGGGCACCCCCACTGCTGCCACCGGGCTCACTGACCCCCCGACTGTCCTGGGCACTGCAGCATTGGACTGACATGTTATAACAGTTTCCTTGAGGCCAGTCCCCTGGGGCAGCTAATAACCTAATATTTCCAATATCATTAGCAATATTACAAAATTAGCAATAACCTGGTATTAGCCTCAGCACAGACACGGGCACACCACAGCCGAGTGCTGGAGGAGGGATCTGCAGGGCTCCTGAGGCTCAATGCTGTGCGTCACAACTCGCCAGTGGCACCTCATTTCGGAAGCATTTGCTTTCATCTCCCTCTCTTAATTTTGAAATGATTCAATTTATATGCAATTTTCTGTCAAAATGATTCCTATCGGTGCAGCGGCATTGCAAGCTTTGACTGACAGGCCAAGCGCTCTGGCTGGTCTCTCTGGATTGCCTCTCCATACAAATAACCCTTTAAAATGTACGCCTGACATTTGAGGAATTTGCCATCAGAAACAGGCGTGGATGGCTGCCGTGGGAGGCAGACTTAAGGGATCAGTGGCCAAACCGGTGTGATAAATCCACCAAGCCTTGAAACAAATGCTCCGATCTTGGCATTTTGAAATTTTAATTTTATTTCCTACCCTGTTTTCCTCTGGAGAAGTTTTTTCATGATGTTCACAGTGCAAAAATCAGATGAAAAAGGCAGAAAGACTGGAGAACCAAGTGTGTTATGAACCCATTTCCTGAGGATGCCCAGGAGGTCCCCCCAAATCCACAGGGCCATGGCTACCTTGTACCTCATCTGCGTAGTCCCAAACCCATCTGCACAGTCCCCATCGGTAGCATCCCTGCTATTTCATTCTGGAAAATCATAGACTACCAGTAGAGTGGAAACTGCTTTTCTTCTCTCTCTTTTTCCTTTTCTGTCCCCTGACCACTTCTGCTTACGTTCTCACAGTGGTGCCAACAGCTCGAAACAGAGCTTGCTCGCTCGCTCACATGCAGATTTCCCTGAGGTTTCCCTGATTTTAGCTGAGGCTGGTCCTTTGATCAGACTGATGCTACCTCTGCAGGACAAGGGACAGTCCCCACTCCAAGAAACTCCCATGCG